CGCTAGCTCCACCCGCGCCCTTGCCCCCCTTGCCCTTGCCAGAGCGGCGTCTCCCGCTAGGGGCAGACGCCGCACCGACCGACTCAAGACCAACGAGGTCGGCCGCAGCAGCAGAGGCGACAGAGGGCAATAGGGGGGAAGGGGAACACCCCTCAAAGATGGGGGTGCGAGGGTCACCACGAGAGGCTCCTACAGCGGCTATGCTCTTCTCCGCTGCTAGGAGGGCCTTCTCTAGGAGGTCAACAGTGAGAGTGGTGGGACAGACTAAGAGGAAGTGGTCCCTGACTACGCGAAGGGAGTCAGGGAGGCGGGTGACTATATAATAGAGAGTGATGTACATGGGGGGGGGCTCTTAGCGCAGAACTCAGCAGGAAGCGCGGCGCGGTAGCGAGTGTCACTAGTGCGGAGGTGCGTAATGAGGTCAGCGACTGTGGGAAAGGCAGCAAGGTCAGGAAAGAGGTACAGTAGCATGAGGCGGCTCAGTGCAGCAGTGGCAGGGGAAGAGTAGCGTGCATCTACAGCGTCGTACAAGGTCTGAGCACTCTTGTACTGACTAAAGTGCGCGCGCTCAGTGGTAGGCAGGTGGCGACGCACAGCAAGACGTGCAGCAGCATCGCGAGTGGCCCACTGGGAGCGAACAGTGGCGTCGGCATCGGCAGCAGGGGCAGGGGAAGCACCAGAGGTGAGGTCAAAGAGGGAGAGACCGTCTGCCCTATCGCACTGTAGGAAAAGCTGCAGGTCATCTACCCAAACCTCAAAGTCAATGGCTTGACCCTCAGCGTCAAAAGCGAGAACACTGGGGGTAGCCATGACAGCAGTAGACTAGCAGTACCAACTGTAGGACAGGGGCAGTGCAGTGACAGAAGCGCTGCTCTCACCAGGCAGGGCGGGTCGGGCAGCTCAGCAGTACAGCAGCACGGCAACACGGCTGCTCGGACGGCACAGCAGCAACTGCGGCTCCGTGGCACCAGCGGCTCGGCTCCTCAGGCGGCTCGGGCAGGTCGGGCGGCTCGTGTGGCTCGGGCGGCTCGGGCGGCTCGGGTGGCTCGGGCTGGTCGGGCGGCTCGGGCGGCTCAGGAGAGTCGGGCGGCTCGGGCGGCTCGGGCGGCTCGGGCAGATCGGGCGGCTCGGGCGGCTCGGGCGGTTCGGGCGGCTCGGGCGGCGCGGGCGGTGTAGGGCGGAAGGGCCGCTGGTGAAGGGGCGGCAGGGCCGCTGGGAAGGGCGGTGGGGCCGCTGAGTAGGGCGGCGGGGCCGCTGAGAAGGGCGGCGGGGCCACAGTAGAAGGGCGGCGGGGCCGCTGAGTAGGGCGGCGGGGCCGCAGCGAGAGAGGCGGCGGGGCCGCAGTGAAGGGCGGCGGGGCCGCTGCGTAGGGCGGCGGGGCCGCAGTGAGAGAGGCGGCGGGGCCGCAGTGAAGGGCGGCGGGGCCACTGAGTAGGGCGGCGGGGCCGCAGCGAGAGAGGCGGCGGGGTCGCAGTGAAGGGCGGCGGGGCCGCTGAGACGGGCTGCGGGGCCGCTGAGACGGGCGGCGGGGCCGCTGAGACGGGCGGCGAGGCCGCTGAGACGGGCGGCGGGGCCGCATCGAAGGGCGGTGGGGCCGCAACGTGAGGCAGCGGGGCCGCAGCGAAGGGCGGCGAGGCCGCGAAGAAGGGCGGCGGGGCCGCTGAGACGGGCGGCGGGGCCGCAACGAACGGCGGCGGGGCCGCGACGAGGGGCAGCGCGGCCGCAGCGAAGGGCGGCAGGTCCGCGAAGTGGGGCGGCGCGGCCGCAGCGAAGGGCGGCGGGGCCGCTGAGAAGGGCGGCGGGGCCGCTGAGAAGGGCGGCTCGAAGAGGTGAGAGTCCGTAGCGCGACTCGGGCTGAGCGCGCTTCGGGCAGGAGAAAAAAAAAATCGATGTGGTGGGCCCTATGCAGAGTTCCCACGGGGGAACCTGCTCGATACCATGAGGAAAGTAGAACGAGAATGGAATGACTAAGGAATGGAAGTGATATAAATATGCAACCCTAGAAATGTGTACCCCATATAGTCTACCCCACTATAGCCTACACAATATTTTTATTTGACATCGGGGGGAGGGGCGCAGTGCGGTAGGGGAAGAGACGGTAGTAAGGCACCGACTCGTCAAAGGTGACGTCCTAGGAGGACAGAACACGGCGCGAGGTGGGGTGGTAAAACTGCCAACTAGGCGCGTCAGGGGGGAAGCCAAGGAAGACACAGGGAACAGCACGGGGGGACAGCTTGTCCGCAGACAAGTCGCGGACAAACGCCCGAGATCCCCAGACCCGAAATGCAGATGCATCGCCAACCTTCCCCGTCCACCGCAAGGTGGGGGAGGTCTCTGGCAAGGAGACCCGGGGCTGAAGGTTGAGCTGATGCGCTGCGTACTGAACCGCAAACGGCCATAGATTATGGGGAGCAGCCGCATGGATCATGGACGTACGAGCGACGTCCATGACCATGCCAATGCGGCGCTCAGCAATCCCATTTTGCTGTGGAGAGGCCGGAAGCGTGAAGGTCTGGCGGATGCCCTGTGCACGACAGAAGGCTCCCAGACGGGCAGAGGAAAACTCCCCGCCTCTGTTAGAGTGCAGACCCAGAACAGGAAAGTCCGAGCCGAAACTCTCTCTGAGCTGGAGACGAGCTGCGCGGATCCAGTCGATCAACACCTCAGTGACGTCACCCTTGGTGCGCAAGGGGAACACCGTGGTGTAACGCGAGTAGTCGTCAACCACCAACAGGAAGTAACGCTCGTGACCCTGGCCACGGACGCGGGCGGGGCCCCACACGTCCATGTGAAGAGTCTGTAGGGGAGCCTCTGTCGCAGGAAACTCGGAGGAGTGAGGGGCGGCGCGCTGCCGCCCCTCGACGCAGGGAACACAGGTAGGGGCAGGCCCCAGAGGGAGGGGAGGGAGGGACCGGGGGAGAACAGAGACAAGAAGACGGGAGGCCATGCCTTGGAGACGAGGCAGGGAAGGGTGACCAAGGCGGTGGTGCCAGAGGAGAGTCTGGTGGGAAAGGAGACGACACGAGCAGGGAGCAGACTCAGGACCAGACCTGGACTCTGCAGTAAACACCTGACTCGACGCAGCTACCTGACCAGACTCAGCAACCGGAGCAGACTCAGTAGTCAGTGTGTAGAGGCTCGACCCCGGCCGACGGGTAAACGTGGCCAAGTGTCGGCCCGTCTGAGCACACGTACAGTGGGTCACCCGCTGACTCGCAGTAGTGAACTGGTCAACCCCCCCATCCTGTAGGTCAGCACCACTCACCAAGTTCGTAGAGAACGATGGGAGGTAGAGACCTGACAGGGTGCCAGAGGGGGCTGCAGGACACGGTAAGACAGTGGAGAAGCGAGCAAGGACAGGACCCCTAGAGGGGTCCGCCAGGGAGACCGCAACCGGCCGACTAAGCGGCGTAAGCGTGGTGTGGTCTCAAAAGAAGGAGCGGGAAGCATCCGAGTCAAGGGTGAAGGTGTGTAAGGCCTGAGCCGATGTGGTACCTGAGAGAGCAGACTCACCAGCACCTGGGGCAGCAGACGCACTAGCACCTAGAGCAGTAGCCTCACCAGCACCTAGAGCAGCAGCCTCCATGCCCGGGTCAGGCGGAACACACAGGTAACAGTCACCCTCATCACTAGCAGACACAGCATACATGGCAGCAAGAATAGCATCATAGTCAAGATCAAAGATAGCAACCTCCGCCCTAGATAGCTCTCCCCAGCGAGGGATCTCAGTGGCGTCAGGGAACTGGTGACGCGAAGCGTCCGTCAGGCGGCCGAAGCAGTGCTGGGTGGAGTGCGAGCCTCCGCACTGCTCACCAGTGCGGTCGCCGGTACGGAGGACGTAGGTACAGGGACCAGTACCCCCACCTCGCTGACGCGCTGCGTACCACTCACGAAGCTGCTGGGGGGACGGGGTCTCACGAGTGCGCTGCTGCTGCTGGCGCTGACCACCACTGGAGCCACCTGTATGTGTGTGAGTTTCGCCGCCAATCAGAAATGTAAACAAGTTCCAAATGTTCCCCGTTCATATTGAGACTTGTATGGAGTGAAAAAATAAAAACGTACAGCACTTCCAACTTTCCGAGACGTCCCAAAAAGACTTCTGTTTTCAAGTGGACCCAACTAGAAGGGGGGGTCACTATTTTAGCTGTTGGCTTTAACACGTAACAAACCTCAGAATCAGACTTGAACTCGTCAACGTCACTACAGTAACGGTTCAGCGAAGTCGAGGACGAGCTTCGCGAGAATCTGGGGTTCTCGCGAATCTGAATCTTGCGAATATTTCAGGGAATCGAATCGCCACCCTTCTGGTTACAGAGTGGTGCTGTCGCCACTGTCGCGCAACATGATGTTCGGCTTGTGCTGAGAGGCGGATTGTGTCTTCCCGCACATTTTTGGACGCGAAAACAAAAGGGTGCACCTGGCGGTACTGGTGTGTGATTCCAAATACGTAAAAATTAAGTAAAAATCCCTAAGTGTACGCGCTGGACACGCCCTCAGCCTCGAGTTGCTCTGTTGCGATATACACGAGGCATCACCAAATTTTACTGTCAGCATGTCTAGTCGATTGAGCGGCTCCCCCACCTTGTTTACGTGCTGCTGGCGTTCAAAGTCGACTCTCTGCTCGCTCATACACCCGCACTCGTTCGCTTTCAGCAGCGATCGTCCGCGTGAGGTGGTTTAGGGAGAAGAAAGCCTGCTGAACCTTATTTCTTTTGCTAAAGTGCACCCAACGATTCTTTGCTTCCGTGTCCGCGCTTCCGTCAACCATCCTCGCGCCCCGCAGCTCTCGCCGCCTCGAGTCCTGCACTTCTTCGTCCCGTCTTTCCGCCTCGGGTCATCCTTTGGCCGCCGCCGACGCCGCCGCCGCCGCATCGCCGCCGCTTCATCGCCATCGTACTCGGCGCATCGCCGACCGCCATTTCCCGCATAAATCCCGCGTTTCGACCTCTCCCCCCACCCACCACCCTCCCCACCTCCCTTGCGCACCGTCGCTCGCGCTCATGGCTGCGCAACCCCCCATCGTCCACGTCACCGGCGTGATATTTGATATCCGAACGCTACTCGACTCAGCCGCCAGCAGCGGAACGACAGGAGACGTGGGTTCAGCAGGCTCAGGGAAGGGAGGCGAGGCGGAGGGTTCACGACTTGCGGGGGGCGCGGACGGTGGGGGTGGGGGTGGGGGTGGTAGTGGGGGAAAGAGCAGCGGAGGCGCGGAGGCAGGGGCAGCGGCCGAGGGGAGGATTGAAGGGGGAGTCGTCAAGGTGCCGGGGAGAACGATTCGGACGCTGTGCAGGCTGCACTATAGTGGCGTGCACATGGTGAGATATGATATCAGATGAGATGAGATGAGGTGAAGAGGTGAGATGAGGTAACGATTAAGCTGGTGTTTAAAGCCTGACACTTAATAGGCCACGCTAGGTCAATCTGTGGGTGTCAACCAAGTGAACTGGTCTCTTGCCTCTGGATTGGATGATGGGTGCATTAGTGTGGTCTATGTAGATCTATCAAAATTACTCTGCCTCTGGATTGGATGATGTGAGCACTTTCGTTTCACGGCCAAGGTGCTTCAATCAAGTGTGATATTATAGTATTGGACACCAGATTTCATTTCGTCAAGCGCCCGATTCTCGGATTCTCACAAGCCCCATGTTGCATGTGTCTCGACTCCCCGCTGCTCTCACCATTGCATGTGCCCTCACCATTGGTCACAGCAGCATGAAAGTTGTCTCCTCTCTCGGTCACTTTTTGTTGCCCTTCCCACCACGCCCCTTCCCTCTACCTCACCCTCCCTCCCGCCCCCTCTTTCCCCTCTCTCTCTCTCCCTTCTCTCTCTACACCTCCCTCCGCCCTCTTCCTCCCCCACTCTCTCCGCCACTTCCTCTTCCCCCCCCCTGCACACTCTTGCATGCCGTCCCGCTTGCCATGCCTGCACATCTGCTATGCTGTGGCTAACTCCTGGGGTGTGCGCGCGTGCGCGCGCATGTGCGTGTGTGTGTGTGTGTGTATGTGTGTGTGTGTGTGTGTGTGTGTGTGTGTGTGTGTGCGTGCGTGCGTGTGTGCGTGCGTGCGTGCGTGTGTGCCCTCAGGGTGTTCTCCTCTATGCCAGTCACCGCGATAGCCTGGAACAACAGGTGCACCCCCCTCTCCCTGCCCTCACTCCTCTCCTCTCCTCACTCCTTCGTCCCTCGCCCCTCTCCCCTTCTTGCGCCAGTCAACTTTCGTTCCATCCTTTTCTTGTGCACCGCAGTTTTTGTTTGCCTCAAAACTTGCCCCATCAACGTCTGTTCTGTCTTTTACTTCTTCTTTCCTTCAGCTCTCTTTTACCGTTTATCCAGCGTTTTTGTCAATGCACTCCTGGCCCTTCCATCATGCTCGCACCCATGCTTTTCCTAATCCTCCCCTCTTCTCTCCCTCCCAACCCTGCTTCTCATCTCACCACTTCCTGTCCCTGCAAACCATTTCTGACAAACTATCAACATTCATTTGCTCCTCCCCTCTCCTCCTCTCCCACCCATTCCCCCTCGCCTCCTCCAGTTCCTCTCCCTGCAAGCATCCCTGGCTGCGGACAAGGCCACCGCCCCTCTTGCCTCGCTCGTCTCTCCCATCTTCCTCCCCCTTGCTGCCACCACACCTGCTTCGTCTCCTGCCACTCCTCCCCCGCTCTCTCTCCTCTGGGACCCCTCCTCTTCCTCCTGCTGCGATCCCCACTCCCCCGCTGCTGCCCCGTCCTTCCCCCCGACCACCACGCTTGTAGTGCTGGGTGGAGAAGCAGCAGAGGAGGTGCGAGTGCTGGCAGGTGCGTGCATGGGGTATGGGGCAGAGGGCAGGGTGTGGAGCATGGGCCAGGGCTTGGGGTGTATGGGGCAGGGGGAAGCAGGGGGCAGGGCTGGTTGGTTCAGGGGTTGAGCTGTATTTCGCCTGTGAGGCACCTCGCATGGGACTTCAGGGTTGACGCCCTTACCTTCTCTCATGCCCTTGTCCCCAACCCCTCTCTCTCTCTCTTTCTCTCCCTGTCCTGTGCCCCGATCTGATCCCACCCTACCAGGCCCAACAGCAGCTACCCTCACCTCGTCCCCATCCTCCTCCCCGCGCTGCTCTCCTCTGCAATGGCATCACTCCGCACTGCAGGGCGAGGCTGTATTGCCTGATCTAGAGCTGGTACCGCCCTTGCTGCCACAACTGAGCCAGCAGGTGAGCCGCATACAGGCCGGCCGTGCATGTGCACGTGTGAATGTGTTAAGGTGTGCATGTGTGCACGTGAGTGTGTGGGTGACTATTGAGGCGCTGCAAAAGTAGCCAGCAGGTGAACGAACGGCATACGGATCGTTCATGTGCACGTGTGCTCGTGTGTGCGTGGGTGCATGTATGTTGCTGTTCTAGAATAGGTGTGGTTGCTCCGTGTCAATTCACGCCTGCATCGACCATGCTCAAGCCAGCTTTGCATCAGTTCCCGACTGTTTCCCACCTTGTATGCTGCCCGCGTTGTTGTTTTCAAGATGTATGTTGATTGGTTGCTTGTCTCTCAACCTTCCTACAATCCGTCTCTCATTTCATGCCATGCCATGCCATGCCATACGGCACACCACAGGCGTCGGGCCGTGCCATGATTTCCTACAGCATGAAGTGGTCCCGAGAGCTCGACTTCCTCAAGGCACGTGCCCCCATGCCCCCATGCCCACATGCCCACGTGCTCACATGCCACATGCTCACATGCTCACACACGCACGTGCCTATGTGCCATCTCTTGCTGCTGTGCTTCTCTTTGCTGTGCCAACTTCCCCCAGCAACACGCGTCTGTGTATGCAAGCTGTGCGCCCTTCTGCCTTCATGCCTGCTTGCCTTGCCCTGACTAACTGACAGCTTTTGAGTTGTGTCTCAACTCCCTGCCTCCATGCCTGCCTACTATGCCCTGACTGCCAGCTAGCTGCTTCAACGACCCCTCCCCCCCATGCGCTCTCTCATTCTCCTCTCTCCATTGCCTCCACATCTCCCCCTCTTTCTTATTGCCATGCATGCATGCACCATCTCCCTGCAGCGCAGAGCGTTTCCCCTCCTTCCATCACCATCGCCATCACCATCCCCATCCCCATCACCAGCAGCCTCTGCTCTTCTCTTCTCTCCACTCATCCTTTCGCAACCTCTTACTGTGTCCGATGGCCACCACAGCAGCAGCTTCTCACAGCTGCCATTGCCCCCCACATCAAGCCCAACTGTAGTTCTGCATAAAGCAACGGACGAGATCGTCCAAGTGGATGCATCAATGGACGGAGTTCATCTCACATTCTCACCACCCTTTCAACACCTGCTTGAGTAAGTTGCGCTTCCCATCACTCCCATCTTTTTCCGTCTCTCTTCCGGTTTCTCTCACCGTCTCTCGTCCCCCACTTTCCAGTCTATGCGCCGCTCCTCTCTTCCGCTTCCCTCTCTCGCCCATCAAAGCCCATTGGCATGCGCCCTCTCCGCTCTCCCCTCTCCCCTCTCCCCTCTCCCCTCTCCCTTCTCCCCTTTTCTGAGCCCTCTTACCCCAACCCAGTAGTCCCCTTAGTATTCGATCCTCACACTTCCACCATCTCTCCTCGTCCAGTTCTTTCCATCCTGCCCATTCTCTCCCCCCTCTCTTCCTTCATCAGTTATTGCAGCAGCAGCTCGGGCAGCCTCAAAATAGTCGACCCACTGCCCGCAGTCCTCCCGTTGACCGACCGAGTGAAAACACTCTCGCTCCTCTCCGACCTACTCTCCACCATCGATGCGCCCGGGAGTGCACCGCCTTCAGCTGTTCTCCGGGTTCCACGCTTTGTACAGGTTTGTGATTGTAAAGCTCTAGTTCGTCTAGTTTGTGAAACTCAAGAATGAGACGAGTTCTGGTGGAGATAGGGGTGGGAAAAGGGAGGGTTGGTGGTAGGAGAGGGGGAGGAAGGGGTGGTCGTGGGGAAGGTTGAGGGTGGGAGAGGGGATGGGGGAAGAGGGGGGAGGAGGTTGGGATAGGTCGACGGGGATAGTGATTTATAACCTGGGAGGGAAGGGAAGCAGGAAGCAGGTTATTGAGGCTTTAGCAGGTGTAAGGTGGAGTGGTCGACGGTGGTGGGTGGAGTGGAAGGACTACTGCTTGTTGCATTGTACCGGAGCTCTGCTCTCTATCTACTTGTGCCTTCCTCTCAATTGCTTCCCCCACCCTCGCCACCAAGCACCTCTCCACTCTTGCCCATCTCGCCCTGTACCTACAACCTCAAACCCTTTCACCACAATCCCCCTGCCACTCACGCACCCACCTGCCTGCCTCTCCACAAATTGCATCCCTCTTTGTCCGGGCATCCCCCTCCCTTTCCACATGGGCCACCAGGTGCCGGACATAAGGCAGACGGCAGCAGTGCTGGCAGCAATGGCAGCAGCGGGGGTGCGCCTTCCAGTGATAGTCAAGCCGCGCATTGCGTGTGGCGCTGCTGCCAGCCATGCCATGGTATGCTGTGGTGTAATGTGCTGTGGTGAGATGTGGCGTCGTGTGGCGTGGGGTAGGGCAGTGTGGTACAGTGCGATGCAGTGCAGTGTGGCGTGGTGTAATATGGTATGGTATGGTGGTGTGTGGTATGGCATGGTTTGGTATTGTATGCTATGCTATGCTATGCTATGCTATGCTATGCTATTCTATGCTATGCTATGCTATGCATGCCATGCCATGCCATGCGATGGGATGCGATGCGATGCTCTGCTATGCCATGCCATGCCATGCCATGCTATGCCATGCCATGCTATGCCATGCTATGCCATGCCATGCCATGCCATGCCATGCCATGCCATGCCGTGCCATGCCATGCCATGCCATGCCATGCCATGCCATGCCATGCCATGCCATGCCATGCCATGCTATGCTATGCTATGCTATGCTATGCTATGCTATGCTATGCTATGCTATGCTATCCCATCCCATGCCATGCCATCCCATCCCATGCCATCCCATCCCATGCCATGCCATGCCATGCTATGCTATGCTATGCTATGCTATGCTATGCTATGCTATGCTATGCTATGCTATGCTATGCTATGCTATGCTATGCTATGCTATGCTATGCTATGCTATGCTATGCTATGCTATGCTATGCTATGCTATGCTATGCTGTGCTGTGCTGTGGTGTGGTGTGGTGTGGTGTGGTGTGGTATGGCATGGTAGAATATGCCATGGCACGGCATGATATGCTATGGCATGGTATGGTATGAATTGGCACGGCATGGTATGGTATGATATGATATGGTGCGGTGTGATATGCGGCCTTTTGGTTCCTCAGCACATGTCAGTTCCTCACCACGCTCGGTTATCAGGCATATTGGAATGAGTCTCGTGCACATGATCTCTGGCAGTTGTCCTCTGTCTCCCTTCCCCCTCCCATCCCCTTGCCCCCCTTCCCCGACTCCTCTTTCCTCTCTTGTTTATGCACTGCTGCACCCTCTCCTTTACTCCCGTGCCGCCAGGCGATTGTCTTTTCGGAAGATGCCTTTGCCACACTGTCGTTGCCATCTCCCTCGGTTATCCAGGTGCGCTCCTCGTCTGAGCCCGGAATTGGCAAAATGAGGCCGTGCCATACCTCTCACCTGCCACTGCTTAGGGTTTCTGCTTACTTGTACTGTCCTGCTTCACGCCTGGTATGTATGCTGTCATGCTGCCATGCTGCTACGCCTCCATTGCCACTCTAGCATTCTACCTCCCCACCACCAGTCATCCTCTTGTGAACCTTACCTTTCTAGCATTCTACCTTCCCCTCTTCCCCACATCCCGCTCCGTTGCCCCTCTTGTTTGGACATGTGTTGCCTGCAACCCTCCGCCCTGTTCCCCCTTCCCCCAGGACTACGTGGGCTGTGGGGTGTGCCAGCGTGCCTCCATTCTCATAGCGACTGATTTCTTGCTACCCTCTTCCTCACCAGGAATACGACTTCTAAGGCGCCGCAAAACCACCGGGTGTGCCAGTGGTGCGCTGAGTCAACTCATAGCATACCCACCTTTCTAATCCCCCCAAGGAGTATGTGCCAGTTCAAGTGCCAGTGCCAGTGGGTCGAGTCCACTCATACCATACTCTCCCCCTCCTCCCCTCCAGGAGTATGTGGACCGTGGGGCGTGCCAGTGCTGCACTGTGTCAACTCATTCCATACCCGCCTTGTTTCGTCCCCTCCAGGAGTACGTGGATTATGGGGCGTGCCAGTGCTGTGTTGAGTCAACTCATAACATACCCGCCCCTCCCCTCCCCCCCAGGAGTATGTGGACCATGGGGCGTGCCAGTTCAAGTGCTACGTGCTGGGCGACGCCTTTTTCGCTGCTGAGAGGCGCAGCACTCCCGATGCTGCACCGCTGCTGCTGCAGCAGCAGAAACAGGCGCACGGAGAGGACGGGCAGCAGCAGCAGCAGCAGGAGGAGCAAAGGGCGAAGGCATCAGCGGCACCAGCAGCGATCTCGTTTGACAGGTAAGCACCAGCGACAGCAGGAGGTCTTGTAAGGTAGGGCTGCCTCGCAAGAGAGGGCTGCCTGCCTCTCCGTCCTTACTCTTCCCGCTCCCTTCTTGTGAGCCTGCACCCCTCACATCCCTTCTTTTTTCTTTTACAGAGTGAAAACTCTGTTCCCTCTCGGTGTTCTCTCACACGTGTTGTTGTAATGACGTTGAATCCATGTTGAATTGAGCATGGCTGAGTTACCAGCTCGTCCTCCCAAACGCATGCCTTGTATCTCTCAACCTTGTATTACACTTGTCGGTACCACCAGAAAATCTCCCTTTTCACTCACTCACTCGCTCGCTTACTCATGCTCTACTCACTTCTCCCTCCTCTCTTTTCCCACCGTCAGCCTCAAGTCCCTTCCCATGGCCTTCCCAAGCCAGCCCAGCGAGCAGCAGCAGCAGCAAGCACCATTGCCTCAGCCTGTGAACCCCAGCGGTGCAGCAAGGCAGGGCGGGAACCCCCCTGCCCTTGGAGCCGTGGGTGGTTTCAACGAGGCTGTGGCGCGCCGAGCAGCTGACCTGCTGCGCTCTGCTCTCGGCCTCACACTCTTTGGCTTCGATGTCCTTGTGAGCAGAGCTTCTAAGGCACAGTGAACCTGCCTCTTCTTGTCAATTTACAAGCCTCATGTGTTGCATTGCCTTGATGTGTTAGTAAGAAGGACGTTCAGTACCCTGAGTGGGCATGTATGCGCATGTATGTGCATGTGTGCATGCATGCGTGTGTGCGTCCCCTCATCACCACCGTGCCACTTATGCACCAGGTGCAGGAGGGCACAGGGGAGCACGTGGTGGTGGACGTGAATCACTTCCCCTCCTTCAAGGACGTACCTGATCACATCTCCATCCCTTTTGAAGTCCGCTCAAAAGTCACTGCATCCTCTTGCTGCTTCGCCACCACTGTTGCCCCTCACCAGGTGCAGGAGGGCACAGCGGAGCACGTGGTGGTGGACGTGAACTACTTCCCCTCCTTCAAGGACGTACCAGACCACCTCGCCATCCCGGCCTTCCACACCGCCTGTGCCTCCCGCCTCGTGTAGGACAGCCAGCGGCACCCAGCCCAGGGGTATACTCACCTCTCAGCTCACTTGGAGTGGTGGTAGAATGGAGGGTTAGATGGGGAGTTACGGGCTGGTAGGTGTGGGGAAGTGAGGGGAGAGGGCGGTTTCAACGACGGAGCTGATTCGAGCTATTTCTGTCCGTCCTATGTAAATTTCGTGATGCTGATGGCGATTGGGATGGTGGTGAAGGTTGCAGCCATAGTAGTAAAGATTTGTGTGGTGTGGGCTCACACGCTGTGGGAAATGTGAGGAGGGGGAGCAAACTTGAGGTGGGTCTGTGGGAGAGAGAACTCCTTGTGACGTGTGGCTTGTGATGCACGGCTGGTGTGTTGTGTGTTGTGTGCTGTGTGCTGTGTGCTGTGTAGCTGTGTGGCCGTGCCTCACCTAACGCTGCAACTTACCTTACCTGCCTGCTTAGGTATAGCTTATTACCCAGTTATGTTCTGCCTGTTTACCATCCTGTACTTATATAGCCTCACATGTGAGTGCCTGAATATTTTGTATAGTACTGTACTCACATAGTGATATATATTTAGTGTAATTCAGGGCAGTGGCAAGTGAAGGAAGGCTGCTTTGAATGTATGCCCCTGCCATGCATTCCCACCTACGGCAACTAGATACATGTTCCTAGCACTCTTGATATTGCAACCACCGCTACTGCTACTGCTACTCCTACTCCTACTCCTAATCCTTCCAGCTCATTGATTGATAACTGGCACAGAAGTGTAGTACACAAACCATGATGCATCATGCATCCAATACCTATCATCTGTGTTCTGCAGCTCCCCAAACACCCCCTTTCCTCCCCTCACCATGCTGATTCATACAAGCAGCTGTGAGGGGCAGACGCATTAACCAGCAACCGGAACCAGTCAGCGTTAGTCGTGAGACGAGCTGCTTCTGAGAATTCTCAAAACCAGCTGCTTCAAAGGAGCAGAGGCTGAGGAGCAGACGCATTAGCTATCATCCAGACCCGGTCAGCAATAGTGGTGTCCCTCACAAACCACACATGGGACTCCCCTGGCGGCACAACAGTGCTGCAGCGCTTGTTGACTGGGTTGACCACTCCAGACAAATGGTAGTGGCGCAGGTGAGTGGCGGCGTTGAGCACCACGCCGCCCGTCTGCGGCTCTCTGACCATGTGGATGGACATCACTGACGTCTGGGCAATGTGGGAGGGGGCAGAACGGACAGGGGCAGAAGGGGTTGTGACTCATGAGAGGTGGAGATGGCGTGTGGGAGGCGGCTCTCTGACAATGTGGGTGGACATCACTGACGTCTGGGCAAGGAGGACGGGGGGGGGGGGGGGGAGGAGGGGTTGTGACTTGTGAGGGGTGGAGATGGCAAGGGAGATGAGATGAGAGGATAATGTGCCAATGTGTGCAGATGGTGGGGGTGGTGGGGATGGTGGGAGTAGCGAGGACCATTTCCCAGTGCATCATCCAATCCACCCAGTGCACAGGGACCAGAGGAATGGTTTTCTCGCTTCCTGGCACCAGGAGGTGTTTGGAGGTGTTTCCTATAAATTATTGTTTTGAAACACCTCCAAACACCTCCTGCCGTGCTCTCTTCGCTCAATTCCCACTTGCTTCCTTCCTCTCATCACGTCTCCCCCCCCTGCATCGCCTATCATATGTTCCTCTCGTCTGTCCGCGCACCTTTCTGGGGTTGACAATGACCTTGCGGTGCCCGCGCCAGTCCTCACACACCGCCGGATCTATCCGCTCCTGCGACCCGTCCTGCATGCACCACACCTCTGGCTGCCGAAACACAAGCTTTGACAAGACCTCCACGCTCTTCCTCTTAGCTTCTGCTTCCGCCCCTTCTCCTGCTGCTTCTCCTTCTGCGTCTGTGTCCGCCCCCTGCCCGCCACGCCCTTGCGTTTCCCCACCAACTCTACTGCCAGTCCTCCCGTCACTCCCCTCCACGTCGCCCGCGCCCTCACACACGGACAGATCCACGACGAGGGCGCCGTGGGAGAGCCAGGGCGCGTGGCGGTGGGTGGCGAGGAGCGAGGGCAGGGAGTGCGGCAGCACGGGGGCGAGGAACTCGTCCGTGTCGTGCAGAGTCACCCAGCGCGACGATGCCAGCGAGCGGAATATGCAGTCGTTGCCCGCCAGCGTCTGGTGGGGACAGTCATGTGGTGAAAGTGGTCATATGGTGAGGTGGTCACGTAGTGCGGTTGAGACAAGCAGCATGAATGATGATGAGTATGATGTGATGGCAGGGAGGCAGGGGTGTGTGGATGGGAAAGGCCTTGGGTTGGGAGATGGAGGAAAGGATGGAGAGGATGGATCCTGAAGGTGTGACGAGATCTGGTCAAACATAGTTGCCGTGTGCAACGCGATGCTGGTTGTTTCACTCCACTCCACAGCGTCATTCGCCGAAAGTATGTCAAACTCTTTGGGCACTGAGTGCGCCCAGCATTACTCACACCCGCCCACCCACCAACCCACCTGGTGCTTAGACAAGAACCCCTTAGGGCCCGATCCCGCATGGAACCCAAGGCGGTGCCCGGCGGACATATCCGTGATCTCAGCAATCCCCGCAGCGAAGTACGGGCGGAAGAGCGTGGAGAGGGTTGGCGTCCAGGCGGCCATGTCGTAGAAGAGGAAGCGGTGCACGGGGGCATGCACACGGTGGTACTCCGCCCACGCCCACACCATGCCCGCGTCCAGCTCGCCATACAGCGGCTGCGAACACCACGTGAGGAGGACGGGGAGGGCGTCGTCTGGCGGAGGCTCTAGAAGCTGGGTTGTTGGGTGGGGAGGCCGGGGGGAGAGGGGTGGGAGGAGGGCATGGGGGGAGGGGGAAAGGTTAGTTGGGGGTTGTGGTAGAGGATGGGGAAAAGTGGGGAGAATAGTAGACCGCGCACGCACGCACACACACACACACACACACACACACACACACACACACACACACACACACACACACACACACACACACACACACACACACACACACACACACACACACACACACACACACACACACACACACACACACACACACATAGTAGATCTCACCTCGCCCCCACCTCACCTCTCTGGGCTCCTCCGTGAAAACGGCAGCCTCCACGTCATCCATGGTCATTGCCAGATAACCGCCCGCCTGAGACGTGTTGCCTGCCAGCTGGCAAAACGCTGCTAGCGCGTCAGTCTGCGAGGGGGACGAAGGGAGGCAGGGTTGTGTTGCTAGCAAGTCAGTTTGCGAACGGGTGCGACTGATAAAGGGGAAGGGTGTTAAGTGGGATGGATAGATCAATGAAAACCTATGCAAACCATGCAACAAAACCTGCTGCGAAGCACGCACATGGTGCATCAGATAAGGGCGTAAGTGCAGAGAGCCTGCTGACCTTGGATTTGGGACGCATAAAGTCCCTGTACAGCACTGTACCGCTCACTCTGCTCCCGTCTCGCCCCACCCATCGACATCCCTCTCCCTCCTTCTGCCATAGAAAATCGAGGCTGCTTATACCGAGTAAGACGAAGCGGGAGGAACTGATCCGATATGCGCTGAGGGGTTGGAGAAGAGGGACAGGAAAGGGAGGACAGGAATGGGAGGAGACGGTTGTTGGTGGGGCACTGGGATCGTACTGGTTGAGTGAGGGAGGGCTACAGGCGCGGCCTGGGGGGTTATGGGTGTGCTACCCACCATACAAACATGCCCTCTTAACCCAATCAGTAGCGGGCTGGGCCAACAACGGTTGGGTGTCAACGAAGCAACTGGCAGTAAGGCAGCACGAGGATTAAACCGCAAGCCCTGAAATGCAATGCCGGGTCGCGATTTTCAGGGCGCCTCAGAAGACAGGCAGGCAGCAGGAGAGGTTTAACATGACACGTGAACCAAGCTAGCACTGAAGGTACTAGCATCTGCAGATGGCAAATAACCTTTAGAAGCTAAGGACCAAGCAAGTCGTACCTGAACTGGTACATGAACCCTCTCTGCTGGTACGTGCGCTGCTTCCACTGCGCTGCCTCCGCCTCCAGCACACTCGCTTCATTCGCGTCTGACTGGTTCCGCCGGGATCTCGCGTCTATGATGTCCGTGTAGCGCTGTTGCGACACGCACACATGCAGCGCACACAGACGTAGACATGCAAAGAGTTACGAGGTTATGCGTGTATTGGGGGAGTTTCGGAGCGGGGGAGAGGGTAGTATTGGGCGCCTGCGGCAATGCGAAGCAGTAACTCTGACATTCCGACTGTTTCGCATTGCCATAGTAGCACATACTAGCCCAATCTTTCGGCAATGCGACTGTGGCTCGGAGCATCTCGAGGCTTGCAGAAGCACAGCCATTTCGAGAATCTCTGGATGGCGTAACCAGGCGATTTCTGGGTCGACTCGACGGAATTTTGTGACGGACTTAAGAATCGCAAACAGCGGTACACCCACCGCTAGTTCTTTCGGCGTCGTCACGTCGCCCGCCGCACCCGGCGGCGCCGAAACGTCGGCCGTCGACACCTCGCCGCTCGCCCCTCCGCCGTCTCCGCCGCTCGCCCCTCCGCCTTCTCCGCCGCTACCTCTGGCCGCCTCATACGCCACTGCCTCGGCGGCAAGGGCGGACACGTTGCAGGCGGCTGTAGTTCCGTTTAGTGCGGCTTGGCGCGCAGCGGCGGAGGGGGAGTGGGAGAGGAGGAGCGGGTAGAGGAACGGCGCAAGCGAGTTTTGGAGTAGGGTCTGCCAGTGGGCGGGAGCGGGGCGGAGAGAAAGCAAACGGTCGCTGGGATCGATTCATCACGAAAGCACGAGAGGCAAATTCCAGAATGGCAGTATGCGTACTGTTACATACATCAGCCTACGCAGCCTGTACACGCGCGTGTAACACCAAGTCGGGTGACACAATGCGGCACGTATCAGTTCGTCGATGCTGTGACTGGTGTTGCTACGCTACTACCACACGTACCGCGCACACCAGCAGCGGAATGAGGACGCCCAGCGTGGCCGCCACGTGCATGCCCCACGCGCGCTGCGAGCTTTTCAATAGATGACACGGCATCATAGCTAACACCTCCGCTGCTCCTACTAGGAGCACTTATTAGCTTGTGGTTTAGGCCTGAGATTGGGAAAAGTCGATGACAAAATATCGCGTTGTTCTATTCTGGAAAAGGTCTTTCTCGACTCGATCTTCCTGTCCCTATGACTCGAGAAAAATGGATAATGGATGGAACTACCTTTCCTTCTATCTACCTACTGATACAACGATACCCGCCCATGGTAGATGGCAGCAGTAGCAAAAGCGACGGACCAGCTGGAACGAGAGTGTGGTGGGACTAGTCACCACTAGTGACCTGACCTGACCACTGACCAGTCATAACTAGGTCCACGTGTTGGCGTGCCGGCGTGACGTGATCACACAGGGCGCGAGGTGCACGGACACGTTTATATAAGCAACTCGTTGTGGCAGATAGGGCTCAGGGAAGGATGCGCGGAGGTCAATGGGATTATGGGATGGGTCCTTGTGCTTGTGAGGGGGGAATGTGAAGCTAGAGAATTGTAGAAATATCGAGTCGCGACGCGACTCCCAATGTTTGCTGGTTGGATGCGACTTGAGTGAGGTGTCGTGGTGTGGGTGGCTGTCTCTTGGTTGGCGGCCGATTTCTCATTGGCTCACGGGTGGGATTGTACCCGACTCTAGCATGTTTGAAAACAAGCATCCAAACTGAGAAACATACTTTACCCCGTCCTGGGCGGTTACGAACAGGTGTTACGAGTGCAACAGAATGAGCAAGAAAGGGGCAAAAAAGGTCATCGTCGTCGCTAGTCCCCTGCACTAGTGTCGTTGTCGCTAGTCCAATGATTTCAGGTCGCTTATAGGTATATCGATGATTTATTGTGACTTGTACTCCACTAAGCTACACCCAACCAAAGGTAGGAAGAATGAGGCAATTTGGGGAAACACGAGACTCGGGTTTTAAGGGGCTTAAAGCCCGAGAGGCACAGGCATGCAGCTATGGAGGAAGGGAGGATAGAGAAAAAGAGCGGAGGATGCCTGCCTCCATTCCATCACTACTCGCTTGCCACAAACTCTTCCTCCACCTTCCTTCAATCATCACACATCCTAGAGCACCTGAATGTACAAGGTCCCACCCACTTTCTCTACACATCTGTCACAAACCTACCACTATCCTCTTCCTCCAGAAGCCAGTCTAATTTTGCATCTAGCGCATTCTGACTGAAACGTTGCCCATCCCCATTCTCCCCACCCTGCTGCTCTCCAGCCCCCCCACCACGGGCAGCACCATCCCTGCTCGTCCCTCCATTGCCAGGCACGGCAGGGCGCGGGAGGGCGGAGAGGGAGCGCTTGAGACCCTTGATGGAGCGGAGCAGGTCGGTGACAGTGGGGCGGGAGAGGGGGTCGGAAGCGGTGCAGGAGAGGGCGAGGCGCACCATGGGCAGCACGATGGCGTCAGGTGCTGATGGCAGGTGGGCCGCGCGCAGGCTGGCCGTGATGTTGCGTGATACCATGTGCTGGGCCTGCACAGGGATGGGAATGTTTGACGTGTACGGATAGAGAGGGGGAGAGAGAGAGAGAGAGAGAGGGGGAGAGAGAGAGAGAGGGGGGAGAGAGAGAGAGAGAGAGAGAGAGAGAGAGAGAGAGAGAGAGAGAGAGAGAGAGAGAGAGAGGACTTAGCCTCTGTCCTCTGCCTCTGTCCCTAGTCCCCTAGCTATATAGGTGTCCCGGGGGGGCCTCTTTTCTTCATTAGTTCATTTGGTTTCAGTTCCCGTAGGCGCTCGCGCCGACGGCCTGCGGCCGCGTGCTTTTGGGTGGCAAGGATTAGAAGCAGGACAAACAATAAGCACACGCGACAAGACAACGATGGGCCACGCGCCCAGCATCTAGAAATCGAGATGCAGCAGGTCTACATGCGGCGGGCACCAGAAACTACATCAAGTGGGCATCCAGTGCCGCAAGGATACCACGCATGGTCCTCCACAGCTGGTTGACCACTAACGCGGTCGCGCCGACAGCTTCAATCCCGCCTCCATTGCGGAGGTGTGCTGTCAGACCCTGGGCCGTCTCGTCCAGCTCCGAGACCGCTATGCCTCCCAACGCGGGCGCTCCCAGCACGGGTAGGAGGAGGAAGGCAAGCTGAGCAGCAGCCGCCATGCAATCAGCTCGCGAATCACGATCGAGAGTGCTCCCTGGGTTCCGGAGAATGGCAAAATGTGAGTTCACCGGAATCAGTGTCAGGGCCTGCTGACACTCCACCAATCGCCACAACCGTGCGAGAGTCGCCGTGGGAACTTGGGCCAGTCTAGTGGTCAGAAGCGCAGCCAGAACAGGAAGAGGGGGCGGAGGCTGCACTGACGGAACATCAGCACGCTGTCGCGGAGGGACGAAGGCCCCCCTCGCCCCTCCGCCTCCCGCTCCCACAAATCCCGTGTCCGGAAGAGGGGGAATCCAGGGCAGAGGGGGATATGGCGCAGCAGAAACGGGACGCAAGGAGGCATGCGGAGCACGATCACCGCCAGGAGCGGGAACCCGCGGGTACGTCGATGCGTGTGGCACAGGAGCAGCAAGGGGCGCGGCCGGAGCTTGCACATTCACAGGAGCTGGTGCAGGCGTAGGAGCGGCGGGAGCCAGCGAGCTTCCAAGATTCGGTGCGCCATTCAGAGCATTGTGCATCGCCGCAGCTAACATCCCCGGGTTATCCTCGCGCAGCTGCTGCATCTCGCTTGGTCCACCGCGCCCGTGACCGTGACCTCCCCACCAGCCACCGCGGCCTCCGCGGTGCGCCGACCGATACGACGAGGAGGGGCGACGCCGAGGAGAACCTCGCCCCCGATGCGCTGCCGCATTGCCCCCCGCAGCACCGCGTATCTGTGACTCCGCGAGCCGCTGCGTGACGGGATGTACAGGCGCAGCCGCAGGGGCCACCAGGTGGGCAGAGTCGGGGCCGGCACCCACCGCTGTCCCTGGCGCAGGGCCCCCAGCGACAGCTAGGACAGGCGGCGGCGCCACAAGCGACGGCTGCGCAACGAAAAACGGCGCGCCGTACGCGGGAACAGTGGGTGAAACGCTCGGTGGGGGAGCGGGCGCCAGCGGGACTGGAACTGAGGACATCGCAACAACAGCAGGAGGAGCCGGGGGGGCAAAGGGAGCAACAACGGGGGCCGGAGGCGGAGCAATTTGGTCCACCGCCGATTTCTCCGCTTCAGTCGCCATTGAGGCGGACGCTTCGGCAGCAGGCGATCGAGGACGCGCGGTCGCGTCAAGACGCGGGAGTAGTTAGTCATGGGAGTCCTCTGCTGGCCGCAGCCAGTGCGCGGACGCGCAGAGGCCGTGCCGGAGGTCGCGGGTGTGGCAGAAGTACGCGTGAGGGCGGTCCGGAGAATGCGTTCCAGGCGGCTGCACAAAGGGCTTTAAACGAGCTAAGAAGAACTAATGAAGCAGACGTTTTGTCGGGGAGTATTTATGAGGCGGGGGAGGAGAAAGCAGGCACAAGTCCGAGTGCCTCGGAGGAGGCCCAGTCACAAACTCCTGCTCGGCAGAGAGGCATCTCAACCCACGCCTGAGGCGCGGCAACAAATTTGACCAACACACCCACCAAGCCTCGACCCTCCCCGCAGATTCGAACCACTCCCAACAACCCTGACATCACTGCCAACCATCCCGCCCATCCAAACCTGACAACAACACCCGCAATTGCACCACGAACTGCAGCGAGGGGTAACCAACGGCAGTCGCAGCTCCCCCCCCAAAAATTGCCCGAAGCCCTTGCCAAGGATGACACGCTTTTCGCAAGCGTCAGTGACTGGAATCTGGACAAGCTACGCGACAGTCGCAACGCACCTCTAGCACATCGCCTTCCGGAAAAACTGCGCCTGCTTTTCGCAATGGTATTACTGACACCACTGCTGCGACTCGCCGACGACCCTGATTCCGTCCAAGCCTGGATGGTTTTGTTGTTTGCCGCTCGCCTGACGCTTCGCCAGCAGTCACCGAAGCATCCTGACTGGAAGGAGATCAGGAGCCGATTGCGAAAATTCCTGCGAGGGGAGTGGGAATCACTTTACCAGGAAACAGTGGATTCGCTGGATCTTCCTCCTCCCCCCAGGCATCAACCAGATGACCTTGCGGTTATCTCCAGAGCTGAAGGTCTGGCGCGTCGTGGCAGTCTTCGGAGAGCTGTCATGGCACTTGAAGCCACACCAGTCAGCAAGCCGTCGCCAGAAGTTCTGGAATCTCTATGCGCCAAGCACCCAAGTGCCCAGCACCCTGACGCACCATGGCCCCAGCCTGAGCCAGACTCTTACCTGTCAGTGTCGCGGGAAGTTTTCTTGAAACTTCCCTCGAAATGTGAGAACGGGGTAGGCGCAGGACCCTAAGGCACGACGTCCGAGCACCTGCGCGAAGCTGCCTTGTTGCACTCCACGGTCTGTTCTCACGTGCATGTGCTAGTCAACACGATCCTTCGCGGGAAGCTGCACAAGGAAGTAGGGGGGCTTCTTACCGCATCTCGGTTGATTGCCCTCGACAAGCCAGACGGAGGAACCAGTTCATTTACAACGCGTTCCTCTACAACCCCAGTTTCACTGCCCAAGGAGGAGTGGTCCGAATGGGGGAGGCGACTGCTGGAAACTCTGCTCACGGCATGTGGCATTAATCACCCGCGGGGGGACGAGGAAATTTCACGCACGTGGGCACAGGCCTCTCTCCCCGTATCGCTCGGTGGCCTTGGGCTGACAGACCCGTCCGTGGAGGGAAGCTACAGCTTCCTCACCAACTACACGCGGGCTCAGCTCTTGCTTGACTCCCTTGAGGACGAGTGCACCGGCCCACTGGAGGTCACACGCGAGCTGATGCGCGGCCCCTATACCCAGTCCTCCCCTTTGACCGAATGGCTAGCGGAATGCGAGGAGGAGCTTCCACTGCCAGCCCAGGAAGCCTTGCAAGCAGAGAGAGCAGCCCCAACCGCAGGAAAGCTGCAGCACGGGCTGGCCACGGCTATCCGTGGCCAGCCTACGCTGTCCAGGTGGAGGAGGTGAGGGGGATGAACCCGAACCCGAACAATGGTCACACGCAGCAGATGTTGTCCCTGTCGGGGTACGGGGCGGGAGATTGGTTAAATGCGGTGCCCCTCCACCGCGCGCTGCACTTCGAGGCTCCACATTATGCCAACGCGCTCCAGTTTCGGCAGGGGCTCCCTTTTACACCTCCCGGGGTTTGCAACTGCTCAAAGAAGGTGGAGATCCCTGATAAGCGGCTCCCGAACCACCTGCTACGATGCGGGACAGGGGGGGGGGCGCACAAACGCACACAACGAACTCAGAGACGAATGCACGCGAATGGCGCGCGACGCTGGCTTCATGGTGCACATCGAAACGGCCGCCTTCAACCCAGTGGAGGAGAAGAAGGCGGATCTGGCCCTACGCTGCTGCTCAACAGGTGCCGTCTACATCTGTGATGTGACGGTGACAGATCCCATCAGCACCCGCGATGAGAACGCAACTAAGGGGCAGGGGTGGGCGGCACGGGAAGCAGGAGACAAGAAGCACGGCCTTTACAAGGACCGCCCTGAGTGGGTGAAGTTCTTCCCGCTTGCGGTCGAGACCTATGGGTGTCCATGCCCAGAGACGGTGGACTTCCTGAAGCTGCTCGCAGAAACGGCTGCAAGGCGGTTTTTTTACGCCGAGCCAACCTCCTACCAAGCTGCCAAGCTCTTACACCAATATCGGCAGCGGTGGTCGGTGGCTCTTCAAAGGGGGCAGTCGATTGGCTATCTAGAAAAGTGCAGCATCGCGGCGGCAGTAGAAAACCCGCTGCTAGAGACTGTGGGTGAGGCCCCGTCCCTAGGGGACTGCCTCTCGGTCCTTGATCCCGTACTGGACCTTGCTTAGAGGGGAGGGGTTGAGCCGAAGGGTGAGTAGTAGGAGGAATATCCAGTAGACCCTCGTGCGTGATGCTCTCACCTTGCATATCTGTACACTTTGTGACAATCAATGAAAGGGCCATTTGAGAGAGAGAGAGAGAAAGAGAGAGAGAGAGAGAGAGAGAGAGAGGTTTGCTTGTTTGTCTAGTTTGCATGTGTCTGCTTCAACCTCTGTACCACCCTTCAACTAATACACGGTCCATTAGAGAGAGAGAGAGAGAGAGAGAGAGAGAGAGAGAGAGAGAGAGAGAGAGAGAGAGAGAGAGAGAGAGAGAGAGCAGAGCAGAGCCTAGCGCTGGCGGTTCACTCCCGCCGCTTCTTGAGAGTCATGCGCGAGGCAAGGCGGATGCGCCCCAACCCCCATTCTGGCCAGGCGCAACGGATGCAGTCGGTGCTAGGCCCAGGAGCGGGGGATTGGCTGCTGGCGATCCTGCTCATCCCCTCGCTCCGGATGGGCCCTTCCCAGCTCTCAACTGCAGCTGCCTTCCGCCTAGGCCTCCCCCTCCCAGTGCCTAGACGATGTGACTGCCGCTACCACACCACCTTCCCCGACGACCGCCTCCTCAACCACCTCATGCGCTGCGAGAAGGGGAAAGGGAGGACCGCAACCCATCACGCTCTGCGGGATGAGATAGCGAACATTGGGGCTGAGGCGGGATTTACGGTCCACAAGGAGACGTATGTCTACTCACTGGTTGAAAACCTAAAGGCGGATGTCACCATCCGTCATCCCCTGACCGGTGAGGTTTGGATGTGCGACGTGACCCCGGTGTCATACCAGGACGAGAACTGCAACCGAGCTCCTGGTTGGGCGGCTAGGGCGGCAGCAACAAAAAAGGAGGAGAAGTACGCGCGGCGAAACGCGTGGGTGGGGTTCCACGCGCTCGCAGTGGAAACTTACGGCTACCCCTCGCCGGGGGTGTTGGCTTACCTGCGGCAATGCGCGGAGCTGGCGGCAAAGCTGCGGTTTAACGCAGCTCCTACCTCCTACGAAGCAGCGAAGCTTCTGACGGAGTACCGCCAGCGCTGGAGTGTGTGCCTCCAACGGGCGCAGGCCAACGCCCTCCGCACCAAGACCAATGAGGCCTTGGCGGCGGACGAGCTCGGCTTTAGAGGACCCATCATCCCTCTCAGTGAGGGACAGCTGCACCAGTTGATTGAGGCCCCGTTCGACCAGTAGGGTCGGATAGGGGGGGGGGCTGAGTAGGTAGGGGACTTGAGATAGTTTGGATGCCGGTTTGGATGTTTGTTGTGCTTTTGTGTGTTTGCATCTTCGGTTGTACCACCCCTCAAAGAAATGCAAGGACCATTTGAGAGAGAGAGAGAGAGAGAGAGAGAGAGAGAGAGAGAGAGAGAGAGAGAGAGAGAGGGAGAGAGAGAGAGAGAGAGAGAGAGAGAGAGAGAGAGAGGGAGAGAGAGAGAGAGGACGCTCCAGGCCGCGGTATGGGGGCTCTCACAATCTTGCTGCAGCAGCTCTACACTGTGGGAAAAAGCCAGACGGTGAGCACAACGAGAAGAACAACCCTGGGATTCAGCACTGCACTCACCCACTCCCGAATGTGCACTGCAGTGCTGCTGCTGCTGCTGCTGATGCTGCTGCTGCCACTAAAGCCACTGGTCAAACTATTGCTGCTGTCACTGCTGCTGCTGCTGTAGCTGTTTGTGCAAATGCTGTTGCTGCTACTGCCGCCACTTCTGCTGCCAGAGCTGTTGCTTTGCTGATCGTTGATGGGAGCTGTGGGTATCAGGGCAGGCCGTCCGGTGATGAGCTGTAGCATCACCACACCAATGCTGGCAGGTGGGGATGGGGGGATGGAGGAGTGTGGAGAAGAGAATAGGGGCAACGGGGAAAGGAGGGAGAGGTGCTCGATTGGTCAATGAACTGAGTTGATCATTAGTGAGCAACAAGCACATGCACTCAGCAGCAGAAAAAATGGTTTCTGCTTGAGTTGGTTATTTTTGCGTTGCCTCAAGAATACGAATTTCCAGCTTTTGAGTTGCCTAAACGGCCCGACCGAATTACCAGCATCCTGCTTTTGAGTAAGCTTCAAGAGAGGAGGTGGGGAGATGAGACGGGGAGAGGGCAGAGAAAGAGGTGCATCCACAGAAAAGGTTGCAAGAAACACAATTGGAAAAATTTGATCGAGTGGATCCAAGAATCAAGGGCAAGAGGGGCCCAGGCAAACAACACGGAATAATAAATCGAGAATTCTCATGGGTAATCTCTGTTGAGCAGCTCGGACCTGAAAACGTCTGTGGAGGGCGAGGTGTGAGCAGAGATATGCAAGGCTGGTTCCATGTACACATGGTTGGCAGGCGGCCGTGTGACCCTCCCTGCTGATGCCACCCATGCTCCTGCTGCTGGTGATCGTGCTGGTGATGATGCTGATGCTGGATCTGCTGCTGCTGCTGCTGCTGCTGGTGGCGGTGGCGGTGGTGGTGCTGTGGGAGTGGGTGGGAGGGGGTCGCCCATTTTCACAGCCGTGCAACCAGCCAGGACAGGCTGAGGGGAGGACATGGGCGTGGGGTGAAGGGGAGGTGAGGGGCAAGAAACCGCGTGAATACTGGGGGATAAGGTAGAGACGTATCGTTGAAGGAAAGAAGGTAAGTGTGTGTAGCTGAACATCTCACTTCACCTGTGCGTCACTCAGCACGTCACCTGCAGGGCGGTGTCTAGCAGGATGTTGCGTGGGTGTATGCGGCCATGCACGACCCCATGGCTCTGGATGTGCTTCAGCCCTCGCAGCACACCCGCGGTCACATCCAGGCACTGCCACACCGACAGAGGGGCGCTGCCCTCTGGAAGGAGGAGGTGGTGTTCCGGAAGTGGAGGGGGAGGGCAGAGGGGAGTACAGGGAGAGGGGGTGAGAGAGGGGATGAGAGCGGACAGTGAGAACAGAGGACAGTGGGGACAGCGGGGAACAGAGGGGAGCAGGGGGGAACATTGCGAGATGGCATAGAACATAGGCTGGCTGACCAAACAGAAGTGGTGTTGGGATTTTTTTTTTTGCAAGAGGCTTGCCAGAATTCGCAAGTGGTGGGGAACGAGTGGCCTGGCATAGTGGATCAGACAAGCACCGGCAGAGGTTAGAGTGCAATCAGCAAGCAAAGAGGCAGAGGCATGGAGAGAGTAGGGTGAGAGAAGGGCCTTGGCGAGGGTGTACCTGCAACGAGGCGGCTGTGCAGATTGCCTCCTGGCACCCACTCAAACACTAGCACCTGCTCCTCCTCTGCTTGCTCCACCGCATGACTGGCAGCAGCAGCACCAACAGCATCAGGAGGCAATTCACAGTCAAGGGCAGTATCAGGCTTCTCCCAGCAATACCCCAGCAGTCGCTGCAGGTTGGTATGGCGGATGGTCCAAAGCGTGGCCACCTGGGCAGGGAAGGACGCACCCACAGGAAGGGAGGGGGGGGAGTGTTACAGGGGCAAGTTGTAAGAGGCAAAAACGGCCCCCGGCACCAAAACGGCCGACGCCGCCGCCACTCACAGCAGCAGCAGCAGCAGCAGCAGCAGCAGTGGAGAACTATCCACAGCTCGCTCACCTCTTTCTGGAAGTCTGTGGAAAGCTCGTCGTTGCCGCGCCTCACAACGAACCACACCTGGCGTGAATCGACAGGATTCACTGCCCTGTACCTCTGCCCCCTACTGCTGCTGGTGCTAATGCTGGGGCTGCTGGTGCGACAGATGCTGCTGCTCCGCCCCTGCTTGTCCACCCAGCTATCCTCACTCCACCCGCCCGTTGCCTGTGCCACGAGGGACATGGAGAGCTGCGGACAGCGGGAGCGAGTGAACACGCGAGATGCTGATGCGGGGAATTAAGGGAGGAGGGGACAAAAAGGGGGAGAGCGGGGTGAGAGGAGGAGAAAATTCAGGTGGGTAACTTGATGATTAAAAGGGACGCTGACATCAGCATCAGTGGCTGGCAGAAGAGAGAACGATGATTGTGGCTGGCAGAAGAGAGATTGATGATTGTGGCTGGCAGAAGAGAGATTGATGATTGTGGCTGGCAGAAGAGAGATTGATGATTGTGGCTGGCAGAAGAGAGATTGATGATTGTGGCTGGCAGAAGAGAGATTGATGACTGTGGCTGGCAGAAGAGAGATTGATGATTGTGGCTGGCAGAAGAGAGATTGATGATTGTGGCTGGCAGAAGAGAGATTGATGATTGTGGCTGGCAGAAGAGAGATTGATGACTGTGGCTGGCAGAAGAGAGAACGATGATCGTGGCTGGCAGAAGCGGGGGAAGCGATTGCGGCAGTGTTTGGGCACAATGATAGCCGCAGTGACTGACAGGCATTGAGAACGAGGAACCACGAGGTACAGATGACGAGAAAGATGGACAGCCACGAGGGACACTCGGACAGGGGACGTATGTGACAGTGACAAGGACACCGCCAGACCATGCCCTTATATGGCTGAGCCACCACAAAGTGGCACATGCCTCTATAGCGCCTTGCCACATACTTGTCAGAGTCGTTTCACAATACTGAGCGTGCTCTTACCTGAGGCAGCTAGGGGCTGTAGTTTCGACCTTTGGAGTTCCGTCCTCACACACCCACAAACCACGACAGCAGCAGCAGCAGCAGCCAGAATAAGGCAGAACACTCCCACGGATATCCCCACAATTGCAGAGGTTGGCAAATCGGTGGAGGGTGGTGGAGCAGGTGGAAGGGAGAGTGGCGAGGAGACGGCAAGAAGAGAGGACAGAGAAGGAGATGGGGGTCTCATGAGAGCAAGGCTGGGAGGGAGAGGAGGCGAGAGCGGAGGAGGGGGAGGAGGGTGGCGGCGCTGGCCTGTAGGGAGGAGATAGAAAAAAGGAAGTGGAGAGTGGAAAAACGAACTATTGCTCCGATGAGCAAGAAAAGCAAGTCGGGTGTGTAGGGATTGTGGAGGGGGAGAGGAGCTGTTGCTCCGACGAGGTCGACCCTGATAGTAATAGTCACGTGGACGTCAATGGTGAGTCAGATGGCATGACGACAGTAGGATATCATTCGCACAGAGGCACATGAGGTGCAATCCTATTTGCACTGTGAGATGCATGCGTGCGAGCAGTCCAGCCATATGGGAACAAGGCAGATTTTCACCGTTGAGAGGGATGCAGGAGGCGCAGAAGTCAAAGCAGAGACTCTTGCAGAAGAAGGAGGAGTCGTTCTGCTGAATCTCACAGCTGCTGCCAGCCCTGCCGCATGTCACCCCAGCAGGGGTGATTCTGGAAAGGGCAGGGGGGTGGTTAGAGTGTTGTGGCAAGGAAAAAGGCAAGGTGAGTAGCGAAAAAAGTGTGCAGGCAATCGTGCTGGTTTTTATTTGTTTGTTGATTTGCTTACAGAAAACGTATTCTGTTGCCATTCATTTGTTGCTGTGCAAAGGAAAGAAGGTAAGAAAAACGCAGGCACGCACGCACACACACATTGATATAAACAAAGCTCAAAGAATGTGGCGCATGTTGCAGTGCAGGGAGAGATGCAGCGCGGGCGAGGGACCAACATTTCAGTTAAGTTGGGGAGAGCACCAAGGGAGGCTGGCAGAGACCCAGACACATATGTGTTGCCGATGTTCCTGGGACAGACAGTGAGATGAAATGTGGGGCGAGTGAAACAAGGAACAGGCTGGAGAGATGGAAGGAGTAGGTGGGGAGAGGTGGTAAGAGCTGGTAATGGCGGTGGCTGGCCCGACCCGCCTTTCTTGTCGGGCCGGCCTGGCAAAATCCGCCCCGCGCCCATGCCATCATATGCGAGCCGGGGTCCAGTCAGGCTGAGCCGGGCCAGGCCGGGGCCGGCCTGGGTCGGGCCTGCCTGGACTAAGGTACACGCACCCAAGGGTTTATCATGCCTAGAAAGGATCAATCCTAGTAAACACAGGCTGTGGAGATTAGCGTGTGCTTTCGAAGATTTCAAAAGCTGATCATGTGGAAAGCTAGAGGTGATCTGAATGAAAGAGGGTGGGCTTGACTGAACTGAGGTACACTACACGCAATGTGTTGTTCTGGTAAAGTCGTGTACGTGTTTGCGTGTGTGCTGTGTGCGTGTGAGTGTGCGTCTGTGTGTGTGTGTGTGTGTGTGTGTGTGTGTGTGTCTGTGTGTATGTGTGTGTGTGTGTGTGTGTGCGAGCATGTGTGTGTGTGTGCGCGCGCGCACGTGCGTGCTTGTGTGTGTGTGTGTGTGTGTGCGCGCGTGCAAGCGGTGTGCATGCATGCGTGTGTGTCACTCTTACTCACAACTTCCCCCCACCCCACATACACATAGTGGAGATTGGAGAGATGACCAATAGTATTGGGAATAGAGCCACTGAGGTTAGTGTTGGCCGCCTCGCTGGAATGCAGTGCATTGCCACGTGGACAGGATGACGGGATGCCACGTGAAATTCCTCACTACAGCACATCATCGCAATGAAGGGGGTCAACAAACAAGGTATGCGATTGGTGGAAAGTCCTGATGACTTGTTGCGAACCAGAGGACCTAGGGCCTCTTCAATACCACCAAATCCGCCTCCAATGAGGGGAAACCACTACATACAGTGAGCCATTCTTTTATTTCCAGTCCTCGGTATGGCAGAGCAGAACCTAAAGGCAGGACTCGGCACAATACAAAACAGTCTTGGCAGCGATGGGAGGGAGGGAGGGCGCTGACAAAAAGGTTAGGGAGGAGAGAGCCGAGATGGTGGAGGGGATGGAGGCGGAAATGGCAGTGTTGGATAGCATCCTGATGGCAGGGCAGGGCATAAGGGGTGTGGCGCATAGAGAGAGGAGGGTTCGGGGCAATGGGTAGGAATGGGGGGAGTGAATGTGGGGAGGTGTGTTGTGTGAGACTCGCCAGGGTAGAATGCATGTGGAATGGAGTGAATGCAAAAGGCACGGGAGAGCAGATCACTGATGCTCGTGCTGTTGCCTGCATGGATTCATGGCAGCACCCATGCACAGCAGCACCTACGCAGATCTTACAAAGTTCCGAGTTTATGGAGTGCAGAGATGGTGGAGGGAATGGGCCCTGAAATCCTGGTTGATTTAAGGTTTCTGCCATGTGACATGCGACATGCTTGGGAGAAGACATGTTAGAGACACGTGTAACGTTTGGCATGTGGCATGTGACACATGGCAAGTCGCATGTGACATGGATGCCCATACGCTAAACTAATCTGTGTAACTCATTGCTAATGATTAGCCTGAGGATGGGATAGAGGTGCTCACATGTGCGTAAGTAAAGAGAGCCGGGAGATGGAGGAGGGGATGGGCCCATCGAACTGATTATCGGAGAGGTCTCTACAGGCAACGCACAGGGCAGTGGACAGGGGGCAGCGTGCAGAGGGTGGAGAGCAGAGAAATGAAGGTGCGGCATCTCCTTTTCCTTAGCGATGCTGCACCTCTAGAATGCATTGCTCACTGGGAGAAGCATCACTTTATCTTTAGAGAGCGTGCAGCGAATGATGGGGAACGAGAAGCACAGCACACACCCAAAGGGAGAGGTAAAGGAAAGGAAGAAGCAGGAGTGAGCATAGCTGTATGGACGGAAGCAAAGCGCGGGCCAAAGGGAGGAAGAGTAGCAGGGTGAGGGCGAGCGCACTGGGGAGGGGGGAGAGGGATCACAGGTAGGTGAGAAAGCTGAAGTGCTGCAGGATGGAAATGGGTCCAGTCAGGTTGTTCATATGCAGGGTGCTGCCATAGAGAGAGATGCCACAAAGAGGGAGACAAGTGCGGAAGTGGGGGTGGACGGGATAATGACGAGGAAGAGGAGAGGCAAGGGAACGGAGACTCTGAGAAAGGAAATGTAGTGTGAGAAAGAGGGGGAGAGCAGGGGCAGGATGGGGGTAAAGAACACCGTTTGGATGTGTGTCATGCAATGAATAGATGTGGGTGTGCGCTATCAAAAGAAAGGAGTGGAATGCGGGTGTGCATGCGACGACCTGCATGCATGCATACGAGTTTTGGAATCTTGATTTGAGTTGAGATGGTACGAGTACCCAAGCATACATGCACACACCTCAACTTGAGATATCTCAAAACTGACAGGAAGAAACACAAATGAGTGGGCCAAAAGTAGGGCTGGATTGATTCGACTTTTGGAGTGCCTCACATTCCCCCCTCCCTCCCCCCACACTCTCACCGCCCCCAACCTGCAAACCTCACAACCACTACCATCCATTCCACCCTCATACCCCCATCCATCCCACCCTCACGTTCCCCACCCGTTCCCCCATTCACAAGCCACCACTCATACCCCCATCACACTCACCACCCGTACCCCCCCCCCTCACGACCCCCATCCACGCCATTCCAGAGTGCATCTGGGCCCCATGCCCCTTGACTGACATGACACCCACGCCCCTTGACATGACACCCACGCCCCTTGTTATGACCGTGACGCACGCGCGCACATGCACGCACGCACACACACACGCGCGCACACACACACGCGCACACACACACGCGCACACACACACGCGCGCACACACACGCGCACACACACACGCGCACACACACACGCGCACACACACACGCGCACACCCACCCGCGCACACCCACCCGCACACGCCCGTGCATCCACACGCCTCCTCCCCTCCCCCCTCCACACACACACGAGGCGGCCTTACAGTTCAGCAAGTCGAGTGAGGCGAGAAAAGGCAGTGGGTAGAGGCCCGTGGATATTTGAACTGTCCACCTTGCTGCATTGTGATGCCACCACCATGGCCATTCATTCTCCCCACGCATGCATGCCCACGCACACCATTATTACGGCATGCCAGAATACAGCACAGCAAAGCCCCAGAATGGCACGGCATGGAACGGCATGGCGCGGCATGGCACGGCACGGCACAGCAGCATGCAAACCCGAAGTCAGCACCATGCAATGCCAAGACGGTAAGGGGAAAGCAGGTGGGGAGAAAGGTTGAGCATGAAAAAATACTTACTACAAGCCGCGCGGTACTCATGTATTTGACTCATTCAGGTAGTTTAAGCTTAAGTTAGAGCATGTGCGTGTGCGTGCATGCGTGTGTGCATGTGCATGCGTGCATGGACGCATGCGGATCAACTAATGGTGAGGAGGGGAGTAGGAAAGCGAGAAGAAAGAAGAGGAACGCAAGTAGCACGCGGAGAGAGATGCACAAGCACATGGAGAGGGGTGCCATTGCGTCACGCACAAGAGAGTGAGTGCGGTGAGGTTTGCGATGCTGGTGGGGATGGTGCCGTTCAGATCTAAGCCCGTTAAGTACCTGCGGCCATGATGGGGAGTGGAAGAGAAGGCCTGTAGGCCCGAAGTGAGAGTGCGACTGAGAGTGAGAGTGAGAGTGAATTAAAGGGTGAGGGGAGAGGGGCGGGAAGCGCAGTTGAAAGAGAAGGTTGTCAAGGGTGCCAAGACAAAGCAGAGACTCACGTTACCGTACGCACTGCACAGCACGCAGCACACACAGCACACAATACAGCACACAGCCCACACAACAGACCACATAGTAACACGCAGCGGGGGTACATGAGTCTCACAGGTGCGTGATCATTCCCTCTGCATTGCACTTGACGATACTATGAGGTAGCGTACAGTCCCCGCCTGCCGTCCACCCACTACCAGCCATGTTCCACACCACCTCGCACTCCTGCAGCACCGCCGCTGCCAATCAACGTGGGCAACAGGGAAAATGATGCAGGCAGCGCAGATAAGCAATGGTCGCGATGGGACAGGTTGGGTGAGGCAATGCCGCTGGCTGAACCCACACCCGGTGCCGAAACGTGCAGCACCACCTAAACAAGCCCCACCTTGGGACGGTTGTAGCCGAAACGCCCTACAAACGAGCGCAAGAAGCGCCATTGCCGCCACCACCAACACCAGCACACGCGCGCGCAAAGCATGAAAAGCCCCACGCCGCGAATTCGCGGTAAAACTCCGGCATTTGCGCGCGCGCCCCGCCGTTTTTCGCCCATGATCCACACATTTCCGCGGGCCGCATCCCAAAGGAATGGCTATCGAAAAGCCTCTAAAGATGTACGTTGTTCTTTCCGCCATGTCCTCCCAGTCATTAGTAAGTTGTCCTATCCATGACTTGCATGTTCCGCATGTGTGCGCAAGCCAAGGAATAATGCAAAGAAGGTCGAGGCTCCCACCCACCCACCCACCCACCGTCGATGGTCCCACAAAACCATATTGTTGTGCCACTTTAGGCGATCCCATCAAAGACCTGAACAGAGAGAGGGTTGGGAGTTGCAAGTAACACTGCCGGTGTATTCTGAGCGATGATGTTTCTGTTTCAGGGGGTACGAATCTCTCTGTCATGGCGATTGTCCTCGAGCATTCTGGGTGGACCTAGGAGGCTAGGCTAGTAATGATCCGAGAGAGGTTCAAACGAGGCGGGTAACGGACAACGCCAGAGGAACTAGGCGGTTAACAGCACCAGGCTTAACGAGGCATGTACTGAGGCTGCGCCGGGGGAGTTGACAGCGGCTGCCAGCCGCCAAAAGGAACAAATATGAGAGGTGTGTGGGTGGGAGACAGTCAGTACGGGTGGGAGGGCGGATGCTGCTCTTTGTATGTACAAGGGGCACAGGCGCGTGTAGCTGCAAAAGCGGCAGGTGTTGTGCTAGTTGCTGGCTGCGCGGCTGCCGGTGCGCGTACAGCTGCACGAGTGCATGCGGCTGCTGCTGCAGCGCGGCTAGTTGCACCTGAGCTGCTGGCTGTGCGGCTGCGGGTACGCATGCAGCTACGTGTGCGCATGCGGCTTCGGCTGCCGCGCGCGTGGCTGCAGGTGCGCGGACGGTTGCTGTAACACGGGCTTATAAAGAAACGCCCTTAAAATCACAAATAAGACCCGGGCTTGTAACCAATGCCCACAAAAGGGTCTATAGTAGGCTTATAAAACGCCAATAGCAAATACACACAAAGTTAACTAGTCCCTATGCCAGCCTGTCTTGAAAACTTGGTAGTTGAAGCTTTGAGAGTGATGGAGTAGCCTCACCAATAGAGTAGTTGAAGCATAGAGCACTTGTGAGGGAGAAGTCTTGGAAGTTGGGGAGTTGAGAATGAGCATGGTTAGCTCACACCCCTCCTAGACCTCCTTGGGGAGCTCCACTTCCTCCATGGCAACAAGGGCAAGGAGCTCCTAGACAGGGCCTCAGAAGTCAGCGAAAAAAGGCTAATTTAGGTTAAAGTCCGAGGTCAGCATGGTAAATGATCAATTTATGTGGATTTGAAATAGGCTGTATACGAGATCTGCGAAGCCTATTTCGGTTGGCTGCCTTTGGCGAGAATGATTATCCTCCGCAAACAAGTGAACATTTCGCACTCACCAAACATGCGAATCCCACCAACCCAAAGCGACAAATGTGTCGCATACATCCTTTCTTGCATCGAGCATGGAAAGTGTTGCTCATCCGAAGTCACCTCACCACTGAATCAGCTCGATGCTAATGGAAAATAGAAAAACAGAGCAAGCAACGCACGTGCTGGGTATCAACGCCACCTACTCAACGCCACAACAGAAACGTGTTCGAGACGATCCTTACCCCCGATTACTAGCTTACCGACCATCGCAGGAGCTGGCAACAGCAAAGTGTAGGAACGTGCAAGTGCGATTGCACTTACGGGAAGAAGGCCGTGATGACAGACTGGAGACTACGGGTAGCTAGGCACAACAAGAAACCGGGAGTGTATTGGAGTCGTTATGACTAGCTAGGGGGGAGAAAGCGGACGAGATTCGGCTCGCGCACCAAGCGCCGAGCAGCACCTGCTCGTCGCATTTAGCTGCTCGCATTCTGTGCGACGCGGAGCCCGCATTCCTCACGACGCGGATCCCGCATTTCAGGCGGATCGGATCCCGCCCTCCAGTCGACGCGGAGCCCGCGTTCCCGACGACGCGGAGTTCGCGTTCCACACGACGCGGAGCCCGCGTTCCAGACGACGCAGAGCCTGCATTCCAGACAACGCCAAGTCCGCGTTCCAGACGACGCGGAGCCCGCGTTCCTGACGACGCGGAGCCCGCATTCCCGGCGACGAGAAGCGCGCCCTCTAGGTGACCTGGCTACGACCACCGCGCGCACAACTAAAGCGGATACTGCGCACTAACGGGGAGCAAGGGGCAGCACACGCCCCTGCGGGTCGCTCGAGAGGAGAGCCCAGGTGACTGCCCAATTCCCTGCTACTGCGACTATAGTACAGCGACAATGGTCGCTGCTGCCTTGGGGGTCCTATCATGCCAACGTGTCACGAGGCAAAGGCACACACAAACAACCATCAACACCGATTGCTGTTGCCTTGGAGGTCCTATCACGCTCACGTGTCACGAGGCAAAGGCACACAGCTGCAACCAGGACAGCTGCTGCCTTGGGCTTGCTTTCACCACTGTAAACCCACCTGTTCTGTCCCAAGATGCTGCTGCATTGAGCCTGGTTTCAGCACCATGCACCCACCTG